GGGAGGGGAGGGAGGAGAGGAGAGGGGAGGGAAGGAAGCCTGCCCAGGAGGAGGAAGCTGATGTCCCTCTCCCCCAGCTGTTAGCACCACTCCTCCTGTCACATCCGCCCAGACGCAAGGCTCATTCCGGGGACTGGATCATCTGAGCTGGAAGTAATGGCAACAGCAGAGGGGCAACTCTGGAAGGAGGCCAGTGTCTCTGCCTGGGGCTGATTCCTGCCTCATCTCGAGGGGGACCCAGTGGGCGAGAGGGCTATTAAGGCAGTGTGCCCTAGGGGGTGTTGAAATTGGCTCTGGCCTGGCATCTGGGCGAGCCACGTCCCTTTCTGGGCCTCAGCTCCCTCTCCTGTAAAAGAAGGCGTTGGCTCCTTTGCGCCCCAAAGGCCCCACACAGCTCCAGTGTTCCATGGCCGTGGTGGTGGTGACACACGCCCCGTGGCATTCAGACCAGCCGGCTTCTCCTCTCCTGAGATAGGACTCAGCTAACAAGGAAGAAGGGCAGACAGCTAAGGCCAATCACCGCCTCCTGTGCCGCTGCCTCAGGGGCCCCCTGGAGGACTCCCCATCCCTGCCAGCCCCAGCAGCCCACCCTCCCAGGCCTGAAACCCAGTCCCGAAGGGCCTGCCCCTGGGGTGGGGTCCGAGGGCTCCATTACACCCGCTGAGTTCTATCTTACTCTAAGTCCCCCGTGAGTGTCGCCAGCTGCTCCTCACCCTCTCTCCACTGCTGCTTTTCAGAAAGACCTGAGGACCCTTAGGGGATCAGGAGCCCAGAACTGGGGCTCCACAGGGAAGGGGTTAAAGCCAGACACAAATACAAGGTGAGGACCCTAGGAGCTGTCGCCCTTGGTCCAGCCCACTTCTGTCATCCTTTCTGAGGCTTGGCAGGGCCCCAGTCTGCTTGGCTTTCTCCACGAGTTGGTATTTCCTATTAAAGGGCACGGGTGGGTCAGCCTGCTGCGTCCGGATGGAATACCTGTGGTGGTGACAGACAAAGGGTGTCGCAGAGCCCCAGGGATCCCACTCAGAAAGGCAGCTCCTAGTGGCTCCCCAGGGGCTGCACCCTGTGTGAGAAGGAATCATGGGCACGACATGACTCATGACTCTGTCTAGGTCATCGGATGAAGCATCTCTTCCCTCAATGCCTTGCATCTGCCCCTCTGCCTTCTCCAAGCTTCTCTGCCTAGAGGGGGTGGGGAATGGTGCCACAGAGGCAGGCAGTAGACACACACGCTGACGCATGGACATATGTTGGCAAGGGAGGGGACGCCCTGCAATGTCCAAAGCCAGTCCCCAGGTCCCAGAAGTGTATCTGGTGAAGACAGGCGTGGGTTATAACTCGCATGTGGTTGGGCCTTTCAGACAACTCCTGAAGGCAGGATGAGGTCCCTGTGAGTGTGAGGCTGCCATCACACCTGCCGGCATTGCTTCTCCAGCACAAAGTGTCTGAATTTGCAGGAAGCGGGTAAAGGGAGGAGAGGAGCCCGGAGATGTCACACACCTGAAGAGGCATCCAGCAGTGTGCCAGATAACAGAAGGTGCAGGTGGCAGGTAAACTCTGTGTCTGAATGCCCCACGGAAGCCACTTCCCTCTCCCCTGATCCCAGGGTGTCTGGGTGGGAAGCAACATCCTCCAAAAGTCAATTCCATAGCAAGCAGGTGGGGCTTCTCCATGAGCATAATGGCGATAGCTCACTTCTCCACCTGCGTCTCGAAGTCACTTCTAGGAAGCCCTGCCTGATTAACGACACCTCCATTTCCATCTCACGATGACACAGTCTCCACTAGATGGGGCTTTGGGCATTTTCCAAGGCATGAATCACCTCTTTTTTTCCTCGGTATCCTGGGCACAGGGTACCGCTCTAGCTTTGGCTGACCTTTTTATCAAGAAGCTCTTCCTTCTCCCCTTCCGATCCCTAGAAGCTCAAGGTCCCTATTTAATGCCTGATGGGGTTGAGGTCCTTGAACTCTACTCAGACAGGCACTCCTCTACCCCAGGGTCTCTGTTGGGCAGCATAAATCTGGAAAAGAGGAGCACAGACAGCCAAAGCCACCTCCTTGAGAAGGATTCTTAGTTCCAAGGGTAGAGGGAGACACTCCAAGTACCCAGTTCACCCCACGGAAGCACCCCTAACTTCCCAGCCAAGCATCTACCTTCCTACCACTGTCTCCAGATGGGAGCACTCACCATGAGCAAAAAGCTGGTGGTTTCACAGTGAAGCTGGCCCCAACTTGTGGATCATCATCAAGAGGCATTTGCCCACCACCAAAGCCCAAGGTCAAAGCACAGATGTCCTAGGGTATCTATTACTTTCCTTAGTGTACAAGCAGTATGGGCTTCTCTGTCCACACAGCCTATCTCACCTTATGTCAGTGTGAACTTTCAGTGTGTAAAAACCAGGTCAGAAAATCTACCCCTCAATGGTCACTGTCCCTATGCCCAGCTTCCCTGTTTTCTTGGACAATGACTGGATGATTCTCATTTGTGTCATAGTGTGCCCCAAGCTTTCTCATCTATGAAGCCTTTGAAAATGGAGGCAGCTCCTTCATCATGACCAGGGCATGCTCTCCTGTGAGGGCAGGCAGCCACTGTACAGATGACTCATCCTCTTCCACCTCCAAGCTTTCAAATAGGTCACACCCGCTGCACCTGAAGCATTCTTTCTCTTCTTCCCAGCCAATCCCTCTCTCTCTGCACATTCAAAAATCAGCTCCTAAAGGTGACCCCACTCAGCTCCGAGCTCTTCCAACCCTCTGGTAGTGCATGTCAGCTCTCAGGCCATTGCTGTACCAATTTGGAGCTGGCTTGTGTGTCCCTTGGAGCAAGGTGTTTGCACACTGTGTGTGTGTGTGTGTGTGTGTGTGTGTGTACACCTCTGTACCATTCTAGTAAGTAGTGTCTCCCCATTCAGGCTAGGAGCTCCCTAACCCAGGGATCTTCTATTCCAGCTAGACGCC